GTCTCCTTAATGGGCAGTATCATTGCAAGGCTCCGATGATTTATAATGCAGCTTTTTGTGACTGTTCTAGCACACTGCTTCCAGCAAGACCGCTACATCTCTAACATGCTGCCCCTGATAGGCACTAACGTGTTATGCAGCAGGATCTGAACTACCCTCCACCCACAAAAAACTCCAAAATCCAAAAAAGGAGAATTAAAAATTTCCTTGAAATTCTATATAAATAGTGTTGGCACAGGTATTCTGCACCAATGGAGCATACAAGCAACTAATTAATGTAAGTTCAGGCTCTTTCTCCTGGTAACATATAATAAAATAAGCCATAAAACAAACCAACAATAAAACATAATTTCTAGCTGCATTCACAGATCTAAGAAAAGTACATGGATCACAAGAGGTTAACATCAAAGCCTAGGACACACATTCCCCCCGCCCAAATAGCAACAAGACACATCACGCTTCTCTTTCCTTTTTATCCTGGATTATATTTTTATTTTTCATGTACAAAAATTCCTCTTGACAAGACTGGTGACCTGCTTGCTATTCACTAATACATTAACCTTTCCTCAGAAAGGAGGGGGGCCTTCTATTGAGTAAAATCCAAACACAAGCCTTTGACTTCAGCATTACACACTGAGCTGGCCTGCAACACAAACACAGGGACTGGCTGCAAAGAGGACTTGTCAATTCAGAGTGAGAATTAAAAGCAAGTAAGCTTTTATATACTGTATATACTGTATATATATTTTATATGCTGTATATATATATATATATTTTATATACTATATATATATATATATACACACACACACACACACACACAGTATGCCTTTAAACTCAATGCTGTTATATGCACTGGTTATCAGATCATCTTTTTATGTGCCTTACTCCCTTATTCTATTGTTTAGCATAAGCAACTGTGGTAGACTAAAGTTATTACTGCGGGGGGGGGGGGGGAATCAGCAAGAACAAGAAGATAGAGCAGTTAGATTCCTTCCCTCCTCAATCTTCTATTCAATGGGCCAAAGCCACATCTGGCCAGCAGCAGAGTAACCAGCCACCTTAAGCATCGTAATAAACTTCGAGGAGAACTGCTTCTTTAACACGGCTCACCATGGTGGGTGGCACCTTTTCAATTAGAGAAATTTTTTCCAAATATTTGGTATTCATTTTTTCCCACACCCCAGGAACCAAATGAACTCGAGGACCCCAAGATGATGAGTGTACAGGTAAAACATTTTTTTAAATCCTTTTTTCCTTGCCATGACAGATTTACTGTTTTGATCTTTCCTCAATGGTTATATTAAATGCTAATAAAAATGAAAGCTTTATATCTTCCCTAATATTCTTCTGATGAGAACTTGAATATTACATAAGTAGGTCAAATTTCTAATTTTCTGCCTCAAATGCTGATACTGCAGACCTGAGGGAAGAGCTGTATCTGAAGGACCAAAAAGAAAGAAAAAAAGTAAATGAGAGTTGAACAAGTCCTTAAGCCACTTCCTTTAAACCCAACAGAGCAGAAGCAGACATGAAATCCCTGAAAAGCCTGTAGAGAACGATACTGACCAGTACAATGTGCAGATTCAACTCTTTAGGAATGAATGTACCAGCTGAAATGTTTCCATGAATACTGACTCAGGGAGTCAGTATATAAAATATACAGAGGCAGGTATTTCTAGATTTACAGGACCATCTTTAACACCTTCACCCTTTAGCTTCTAATCAACTTAAAAGATTTTATATAAACCTCTTAGTAACATAAAGGAACATAACAACAATCAAACATTTCTCTTCAACTGGCTTCTGGACATAGATGGAGAAAGTATTTAGTGTATTAATCTTAACTCCCAGGTGATAGGGGGCTCTTCTCTTGTCTTCGTAAAAACAGATAATAATATCACACCCAGCCTGCCTGAAAGAAGTGAGTAAAGAAAGGCTGATGGGGTGGGATGGAGGGCAGCAATGAACAAATTGTAGTTCATGTCTCTGGTCTACATGGTAAAAGTGAAACAGGTGATCTCAAAGAATAAATATATTCAGGAAGGAAAGAAGGAAAGAGGGAGAGGGAAATACAGCAGGCAAGGATATTAACTAAATTAACATGCTTCTTACACAGCACAAAGATGGTGCTTTTTGAAAAACCTGACTAGCTTCTAGTCTTGTTTGCTTTCATCTCAGACACTACCACAGTTCCCTTATGGCTTCACAAGTGGTTATTTTACTTGCTATTCTACTAATTATATTTTTAAATACACACAGCATTAAAAAAAAAAGTATTTTTCAATTCTATCAGAAGGGGTTAAGGATGTAGTTCAAGTGGTAGAACACACGCCTAGCACTTAGGCCTGAGTTCAAAATACCAGTAATAAAAAAAAGAAAGTCTACATCTATGACAGAAAATCATCTACCCAATATAACGGCTAGAATAAAAGTAAAAATAGACAGATACAGACATAATGAAGCAAGTCTGTTGACAGTATCATACAATCAAACCTACCTGTCTATGAATTTTTCCTTAAAAAAAAAAGAACTGTGAGTACTATAGTTTGAATTCAGGGCTTCAGGCTTGCTATATAGAATAAAGACCTGCAGCCCCTTTATAGAATTCCTTATAAAATTTTACCTGTGTGTCCAGCTTTTTCTTTCTCTCTCTCTCTCTCTCTCTCTCTCTCTCTCTCTCTCTCTCTCGTTTTGAGCAGGGGAGGGAATGGAGTCCCAAACTTTTTTTCCATGCTAGCCTGGAACTCTTGATACTCCTGGGTCTCAGTTTCCAAGTAGCCAGGATTAGAGGCATGAAGTACTTGCACCCAAGTGAATTTTTTCTTATTGTAACTACAGAAGTAAGGGGGTGTAGAGTCAGGTGTAATGGTAATCTTAGCACTCCTGACAATGAGGTAGGAGAATCAATATATGCTAAATGGTATACAGCAGCATAGTAAGCCTGTAATGAATGTTACTATGGCTTTTAATATTCACAAAGGAGTATGGGAGCAGACAGGAGGACAGATCTACCTATAAGATGGAACAAGCACATGTTATTCAGGAGATGTTCCTGATGGTTTCAGTGTCTAACCTCAGTACACAAGTTTCTTTCTCAAATGTCTAAGGATAGATGACTCAATATAATCAAGGCTGACTTCTTCCCTGCCACCTGAGCATGCTGATAGTGCTGAAAGTAAACCCAATCCTCAGGGACAAAAGGAAAATGTGCATAAAGAGAGGTTAAGATTTTAAGGTGTACATGTGTGAGATGACAAGCAGCAGTGAACTTATGAGCTTTCTAGAACTTATTTAAATGTCCTTATCTATGTCCTAGCAGAAAAATGACGGAGAATTTTTGGTTTAGAAGGGGAATTTAAACTGTGTCCAGGTCATCTCCTAAGACTCTTGACATAAAGTTTTCTTGAAAGAAACAGAAGTATACCGTAAAGGACAAGTATAAGACCTGAAATCAAAGTGTTCTGGCTATTTTTTTAACAATTACTTTTATTATGATTATGAAGGTGTACAAGGGGTTACTGTTTCATAAGCTAGGTGATGAGTATGCATCAGGTGTTTTCTGGTTGGAGTGGATGACAGTTAGCTTTCCAACTTTCCAATGGATAATGAAGCAGAGAAATTCACTCTGACTGAGCTTGCTGACTGGGTACAACTAGGTAAGAGCATGAGAGATTTTCTTATACCTCTGCCTCAAAGCGGATCATTTGGAAGAGAAAAGTAAAATTAGGCTCTTTAGAGTTCAGTGTCTGGATATTATTCTAAAACCTTGCTAAGATAGGTCTATATGAGGCTTAACAACAGATTCTGAGTATTTAAAGGAGCTAAGATTTAACTGTACGCTGAACATGGAAATAGTTTTGCTATTTCTGTGGGGCAGTTACAAGGACTTCTTTAGTTATGAAAAATACTTTGTGACCTTTTGAAAACAATATAATTATTCTGACTTCCAAATATAACCCTTGAGTTATTTTAAATAGCAGGCAGTATTATTAGAAAAGGCAAGTATTATTTAAAACAATAAATTAGATACAGGCTAAGGAAGAATGGGCATTAGGAAGATTCATAGACTAACATTTAATAAAAATGTCACAGATAGCCGGGCACTGGTGGCTCATACCTGTATCCTAGCTACTTTGGTGGCTGAAATCTGAGAATCAGGGTTCAAGGCCAGCCCAGGCAGGACAGTCAGTGAGACTCTTGTCTTTAATTAATCACCAAAAAGTCAGAAGTGGAGCTTTGGCTCAAGTAGTAGAGCATTAGCTTTGAGGAAAACAGCTCAGGAACATTGCCCCGGCCCTGGTTCAAGCCCAGGCTGGCAAACCCACCCATCCAAACAAAACAAAACAAAAAAACCAAAACCCAAAACCCAACAAATAGTCATAAATGTACAAGATGTTCTTAGGATTCCATGTCTTTGAAGAGAATGATTAGTGAATATCCTATGGCTTTAAGATAGATGAGAGAAAATAATTTCCCAAAATTACTAAGATACTACAAAGTCAATTCACTGATTTTCTATACGAAAACTTCTTTTGTTCTGTTAAACATTATGTTTTAAAATTTTCCTTGAGAAGATCCAAGACAACATAAGTTAGCCACATGATATAAGCTAGGCAATGGTCTACCTTTTATTAATGTTTTATGTCTTGAAACATTCTTCCTATATTAAGAAGTAGGCAATGTTTTTTTCTGTTTTTGGATGGTACTGGAGTTGGTTTCACGCTTGCCACATAGGTGACCATCACTTGAGCTGTGAGCTGTGACTCCCCACCGAAGCCCTTAGACCTAGCCACCAGCATCACACAGCCAACCTGATCCCCAAGGACACCATGATGGCCTCTGCTTATTCTCACTTTCCAAGCACAAAAACCTATCACTTCACAAATGATGGAAGAAACTAAGAGACTACCCTGGTACACACACCAAGTTAGAACCCATGGCTAATTTCTGAGAAGAATTCTGGTATGGATCAATTCATGTAAGAATGCTGTACATACCTGTACCACAGGATCTTTTGGTTGGTGTGATTAACGAGACATGAGCTGTGTCTGTGCATGGCCCACCTAGAAACAGAAAGGCAGGCACATCAGTCAGATATCCTCCCCAGGCCCACAGCTGCTACACCATCAATAAAGAGAAACTAGAGAGCAAAGAAACAACCGGCAATCTATGCATGAGGAGGGATGGTAGGGAAGACAGTAGTCTTGAGCTAATTCTAAGGACCATATCTAGTTCAGCAGTTCACAGTCTGTGAATTCATAGTCTTTCCATATTAGAATATGCCTCATAAAAAAATTAAGTTTCATGTTATAGTAAGAAGTTAAAGGAAACCAGGTATAGTACATGCTGTAATCCTCTCTACTCAGCAGGCAGAGGCAGAAGAATTATGATTTTGAGGCCAGCACAAACAAAGTTACTAGACCCTATCTCAAAAAAAAAATTAAAATTAAAGAACAGGAATGTAGCTCATTGGTATAAGACAGGCCTAGCATGTACTAGATCATTCCCAGCATCACAAACAATAAGAGAAAATGAAAGATAAAGCTTTCATTAGAGTTCAGATCTAGATGAAAAGAAATTCCCCATAAATGTGGGGAGATAAGTTCACCAACAGAGATAAACAGAGCATTCCCTTTTGATCTGAGGGGTCATTACATTTATTATAAAACTAGCCTTAAAAGGGAAAACTCCTTAGGAAACAACAAAGTGCTTGTCATAAGAAATAAGAATCGTTTTAATATGTAAGAAAAGCAGTGCTGACTAAAGAAGAGTCTCTAGTCTCATCCTAAGAAGTATGACATGGAGAGGGACTTCATGGAATTGTGGTGGGTCTAGAGATTTGTAGTACAGGCATAACTGAAGAATATGCGAGAGATTTATCTAGTCCACAGGAAAAGGCTACAAAAGCAATTAATTTCTATAGGCTCAGAACCACCAGCACATACTGAAGTTGATCATGATACATACCTTAATCTTTCCCCCCATAAACACATACCACTCACCATGTCCTGCCTTCTGAAATATGAAGTTACTGTACAAAATATGAAGGCCAAGTAGGTCTTGACCTACCTGGCAAGGGCAGTGATAGTGATCAAAAAGGAACAGAATACACAGCAAAAGTTACACATCTATTCTGAAAGGGCTCCCTAGATGACTGCAATTAACTGCAGTAGCTGCATATAATCTATGATGAGGCTTTGTGTAACTGAAAGGAAGGAAGGAAAGATGAAAGAGATCTGGGACCCGTTCTAGTGATCATGGGTTCAGGGATTTGGGAGATCCCCCTATAAGAAATTTTCCATTAATCCCAACTTCTCTTCTATCAAGGCCATAGGGTAACAACACTTAGTAGGTATAGAAAAAAAGAGGGGAAGTACAGGGACAGTGCCCAAGCCCAGAGTTCAAGCCCACGACCGACAAAAAAAAGGGGGGGGGGATTTTTAAGAGGAAAATTGAGCAAGTGCACTGTTAATTCTAAAATATATTAGAAAAGATCCACAGGGAGCTTGTAATCTTATTTGAGAGGCAAGATGTATGTACTTATGTAAAAAGATAATACATGACAGGAATAAATGACTAGACAAAAAAAAAATAGGAGTACCAAAGAATATGGAACTCATGCTTATATGCAGGGGATAGGGGTGTGGTTCAAGTGGTCCAGCACCTGTCTAGTAAGCTCACGGCCTTGAATTCAATCCTCAGTAGTATTTACAAAAAAAGAAAAGAAAAAAAGAATTTCTACAGAATCAAGAAGAACATCTGTCATTGGTTAACCCTATCTGGAAATGGAAGAATTTGAAAATGAGGCAAGAATAAATTGTAAAGTTTAAAAAGACCAAAGTTGAATTTTTTTTGCCCTTTACAAATGTTGAGTTCACCAGGAAAAGCTTAATACACTAAAATTCAGAGGCTCAAATGAACAACTGTGACATGAAAAGAGGCAATACAATGAGACAACCTGCCACATAAAAGCCTAATACATGTAAGAATACTCTAGGCACAGGCTTGTATAGCTCCATAAAATTCTGGAGCTTTACTTCCACTGCAAGGTTTTTGTTTTTAAATGAAGCGTTCTTGTTCTTGAGACACTACGTATTTTTACAGGGGATAAAGTTTTAAGTCCTCTAACTACTTCTACTTGCCGAATATTCAGTATTCCTGGGTTAAGTGATCTTCATTTTAGTTTCTTTAACAAAATTAATAGGAATAGTACATAATTGCCAGTAGGTTGGGGGTTCATGGATCAATAAAAGGCTTATATCATCACTTTCTCTTCCACTACTCTTTGTGCTCCCAAGAATCAAGACTCACTGTTATTTGTCCTTTGGCTGTGGCTATATAGGCAGTGTTTAACAGCATTATTTAGTAACAAAAAGTATGATTTAATAGGTGGAATAAAGCAAAACTTCAAGCAACTTCTTCATGAGAGTATAACAAAGAGACATAAAAACAAATACAAGTTGATTATCCTTAATCCAAAATATGTATAACTAGCACTGTTTGGATTTCTGAGGGATTTTTCTGGGAAATATTTTCATGTACATAATAAGGTAAATCCTAAAACTAATTAAGAAATTCATCTACATTTTACATATTCCTTATACACATAGCTTAAAGGTAATTTTATGTAGCATTCTTAGTGTGCCTGTGATTTGAATATGACATCACATGATTATAGATAGGGAATATTGCTTTGTGGCATTGTGTTGGGGCTCAAAAAATGTTTAATTTTGGGTTAGAGGAAGGAGTTAGGTGGTAGACCACCAGCCAATGAACAAGTGACAGCAAGCTTGAGTCCCGGTTTTACACACACTCACACACACACACACACACACACACACATAATTTTTAGATATGGGATTCTCAATCTATACTAGGAAAAACTGCACACATCTTAAATGCACATTCTTAGAGATTTTAGTGTGTGTGTGTGTGTGTATAACATAATGACCATCAGGTTAAAATACTAGAAAACTTTCTAGAAAAATGAGATTATTTTTAAAATGTAAACTTCTAAGTCCTGAATCTGAACATTTTGATGCAATAGGTTAAGAAGGGCATGGAGGAAATTAATGTACTTTTTTTGTAGGGGAGGAGAGCCTAAGCACTGTCCCTTAGCTTTTTTGCTCAATGCTAGTGCTCTATCACTTGAGCCACAGAGCCACTTCCAGTTTTGTGGTGGTTAATTGGAGATTAAAACTCATGGACTTTCCTGCCTGGGCTAGCTCTGAACAGTGATCCTCAAACCTCAGCCTTCTGGTTAATAATATAGGCATGACCACTGAAGCCTGGGTTAATGTGCATTTTTAAACAAGCTGAACACACTGTAATACTAACAGTTCAGTTCCTATATTTTATAATGTTTTCTATTTTTTTAAGAGTTTCTTTTGATGCTACTGGGGCTTGAACTCAAGCCCTCACATTTGCTGAGGTATCTTGCTCATGGCTGGCACTCTACCACTTGAGCCATATCACCAGTTGAGCTTTTGCTGTTGTTATTTTGAAGACAAGAATCTTAATAGACTTTTTCTCCTGAGTTAGCTTCAAAATACAATCCTCCAAGACTTAGCGTCCTGAGTAGCTAGGATTCTCAATGTGAGCCACCGATGCCCAGTTGATCATTTTAAGCCCTAGTTTAGAATCTAGCCAGTATCACTAGGATATCACAAACACAGTAAGCTATAGAGAGCACAAAATTCAATGAGAGCATAACTACCAGAATACTTTAAATATATCTTTATTGTAAAGATACTGTACAGAGGGGTTACAGTTATATGAGCAAGGTAATGAGTCCATTTCCTATCAAGCATTGTTACCCCAGAATATTTTTTAAGACATAAAAGAATTCATCTAGTAATTATAAGAAGGGAGAAAATCATCAAATCAAACCCCTACAGAAATTTGGCTGGAACTTATAAAGTAATATTGTTTATTAATGTTCTAGGTAATTATCAACTAAGAGAATGTTTAATTTATCTGAAGGTTGAGAGTTTATCCTTCAAAATTTTCTAATTGATGAATTTCTGTAGGTTTTAGCAAACACAAAATAACTTTATAGCTACCATGCATATCTCAACATGTATCATTATGAAAGTGTTCTCCCGAGACCTTGTTAAACTAACAACTCCATCCAATGTATTCACCACATTAAAATACAAACAGAACTTACAGTTGAGCCCAGACAAATGGACAGCAAGAATAACTGGCAGTGATAATATATACAAGCTTTGATAATTGGGCAATATTGTAACAGAGATCCTGGAATTAAGTTTGGTCTGGCAGACTCTAGGAAACACTAAAATCTGGAGCAGAAGCATATGAGTACACACATACACTACACTAATTGTATTATCACCCAGACTCCCATGCTCTAGAATAAAAGAACCACTGGAGATGACATCATCTAGCCTTACATAATTAATTTCAAATCAATTCTGCCAAAATGAATGCAGGAAATTATAGGCAACTAAGGGGAAATTGTTTTTGGCTTCTGTCAACCAAAAGAAATTGGGACACAGGCCTGGGTGGTTATAGTAAACAAAGTAGTGTTTACAGCAGATGGTAAAGGTCAAAGTGAGGGTATCTATTCCATTGAAAAATCAAGACTTGGCTTTTCCTTTGTGGACTTTATAATGCAGAGAATTACAAAGTCTCTGCAAACTCTTCTCCCATTTTTGACCAAGCAAAGAGTGGAAGAGAGCTAATAATAAAGAGCAAAAAGTAAGATTTTTCAAGGTTTTGGGTTGGGAAGGAGGGATGACAGAGAACACGTATAGTGGGACTGAAGTTGGAAGAATAAATGTATTTTTAAGAATGAAGCAATTTAAAATACATATCTTTGTCATCCAAAGAGGTCCAATCTGTGATCTCAAAGGCACTTACTTTGAGGCTCAGACTTACAAGTCCCAAAACCTAGATTCTAGGAGAGACCAGAATGAATCCCACTTACTAGTTTTGAGGATGCTGTTAAAAATAGAGGGAAAGCTCACTGGGGTCAAACACAGAGTTTATCACTGCTCTAGGAAAGAGTTTTGCTTATATAATCCTCAGAATGTTTTTATTC